ATTAGACACAGTTACATACATAACATAATTTGATAAAAATACATTTTGACATCGTTTGGTCAATACCCGGGGACTCTGTATGTTTAATACAATCACGGCTTTTCTGAAAGCGATGTGGTAGTGGTCTATTTCCGGAATCTCTATATAATTATCTAATTCGACCCAGGCATGACAGGATCTCTTTCGTTAAATCAGTTATATACATTAAAAAACTATATAGAATTACACATGTATAGTTACTTAAAGTAAGATTTTGCCTGATTAAGATAATCATCTGTGTCTAAATAAAAATAACAAAGTTGAAACATATTTTTCTGTTCTTTAATATATTATTTAAAGAATGTTGAAAATGAAAAGAATTTATATCCAAAGTCTTTCTTCTGGTCAGAGTGCTTGGCTGATGCTGGTATCTGAAATAAATAAATAAATAAATAAATTAATTAATTAATAATTAATAAACCTAGCTCTTGATAAAAAATAAAAATAGTATTCGTGACTCTTTGTGCTCGCGTATGAAATCGGTTGCTGGAAAATCGTTTAAATGCATTTAAAGTTATACTGATTAAACATCAAACATATGTGTTCAAAGTACTTACGTTGTGTAAGTCGAAGTGTAGATCACTCTTTATGTAGAGGTTCATGATACCAAACAGGTTATCATCATCGTCAACAATATCGTTGTATGTAATATATGTATCATCAATGTCATTCCTGGCTGCTGTTGTGTCCACTTTAAAATTTTATCATTTTGGGGGAGAAATTTCCTCATTGTTAAAATTATGTCATTTGATTCCCATTTTGTAACGGTTTCATCATTTGTTTCTATAAATAAAAAAATCATTAAATGTGTGCCCCTGCCCATTTTCAAAAATGACCCAAAATCTAATATTTTTTAAAACACCTGACTCTATAAATTTGAAAAGGGCCCCAAACGTATGCGGGGCTAATAAAAGTATGTGTCGGGTTAATTTGGGTGCTCTAAAATTAAAAATTGTATCAATAAAAAATTTGGGTCCTTTGGTCTTTAAATAGAAGTCTTTTAAAAAACATTGCTGTCTGCAATTGTAATTTTCGGCTATATTAAAACAGACGGATCGGATCGCTTTTCGGATACATGATTTTGTTCGCCTTTTCTTCTTCTCTGTAGTTACTGATACATATTCATCAAACATTTCAGAGCCTCGTTTTGAATATTACAAAAACTTCATCCAGATATACATGCATATCTTCTTCAAGTGGAAAACTTGATTCTCTTTCAGTTGATGGCCAAATGTTAGTTGGTTTATAGATACCTGCCTCTTTATCAATTGTAATCTGTAACATTTCCTCCTGATAAGCTTTACCAATGGTTTCAAATGAAGTTGTCTTCTCTACTTTAAAACGTGTTTTATTAAGCTTATACAAATGAATCTTCATATTTGTCCCAGCAATGGTTTGATCATCAAAACCTGGTGTAGTACTTTTAGCAATTACTTTTTCATGCCTTGGTTCTCGACGTTCGTCACTTTCACTTTTGATGTCTGATATGAAAGCTGTCCCTATCGTAGATTGAATACTTTTATCAGTGGCACTAATGTCACTTTCGATATTTGAAGATTTGTTTTCTTTCAGAGGTTTAGTGTCTAACATTGTATCTTTAGCATTTTTTGGTTCTGTTGGTGACCTAACCAAAATATGGTCGACTAGCTTAGCCAGCTGTCTATCAATCTCTTTCATACTTGGAGTGTCTCTTGTAAACTTTTCACCACTTTCATCTACAATCTTCTCAATATCTTCACTTTTACTTGGCATTTAGGTTTTTACCTTTGTTTTTCCTTTGATTACGGGCGTCTGTGAACTTTCGGGTGGCATATTTCACTGAAGTTTTTCAACTCTTTGTCATTCTTCACACCAAACTTCTCTATAAATATACCACATCCGTTTCCTATACCAATGTGTAATACAGCTTTGTCGAACGTTGCACTGATTGGAATGATGACGTCATCATTGTTTGGACTAATGAGGATATCTGTAAGAAAAAAAAAGAATTTGAAAAAAATAGTAGCGTATTTATAATTTTGGAAACTTTTTTTTATTTAACACTGACATTGAAGACGGGTTATAAATGTTTTCCAGAGTTTCTTTATAAAGTTAATACCATATTAATACATATTAAGGCCTCTGTATTCTATTTAGCTCGATATTTGAAACAATTGATTACATGTTAGTTACCAAGTATTAATGCGGACTGTATAAGAGTGCCAATGTTTCTATATATTCCTAGGAAAGAACTTGGATTGTATAGGAGGGCCAGTGTTTCTCTATAGTGTTAGATTGCCAATGCTTTACAGCCCGCGTTAATTCGTGGAAATATATAGAAACAGTTGTCCTCCTATACAACCACATTCATGACCGGATATATTTGAAATATCATTTTCAAAGTGATTAAAGCTAAATATCTGCTGTCTGTAGTATACAAAATTAAATGCTATTTAAAATCTGTATAAATGAATTTTTGAATGGGCACTACATGAAGTGTAAGAAATTAGTTTAATTACATTTGTTAAAGTGCAGTGAAGTTTCGAAAGTCAATTAAATCACAGGCAGTAATATATTTATGTTTGTTCATCTTGAATTTAAAAGATGATCTTAATACTGATTACTTTTAAACTTGTTTATCAGTATGACACTTAAACAGACTCAGACTTTTTATGAAATTGATTCTTTTTCCACATTGAGGCTAATTGATAGTAAATGGGACTTTCTTAAATTTCTGTATAAATTGTTAACAATTTTTTATGATTGAGAATGATGTGTCATTTGTGTTAGATTGTTAAAAGTGACTAATTTGGAGTTGACAGGGTAAAGTAAAGGGACAAGCAATTTTCTATGCCACTAACGATGAATTTAATTCACCTATGAATTAAATTAAGTTGAATTAATTTTGTTGTTAAATCTTTGTTAAAGCCGATGTTTTAACTAAACGATAAGGCTATTTTTTCTGAACATCTGATTTTTTAACAAAGATATTTAACAAAAAATTAACAACACTTTGTTATTTTAACACAACTTTAACGTTAACAATGTTTGAACATGATTGCTTAACAACAAAATTTAACGCAGAATTTAACATTTTTTTTTGTAAATTTAACAATGATTTATTTAACCATTTTGTTAAATAAGAGTCATCAGTCTGAAGTAAGAGAATTCACATGTATGGATATGTGTTTATTTGCTTTGTATTGTGTCAGTCTATGCATGAAGTGTATGATTTATTTTGGATGAATGCCTCTTTGTATTTAAGATGCTTTGTTTCCTGCTTTATTCTTAGCTTATGCATTGTCATTATCGAATTTGCTAAGATTGACGGGTTTTCTCTATAATTATGTTAAATTATATACATTAACATTAAACATTAACTTGATTATTTAATAGAGAAATTATTTGTATAAAATGTGTACAGCTAGACATACATTTTGCCTATCAAGCACCAGATTATAACATAATTTCCCTTATGTTTACATATAGTGAAACGGAGTGAAATGAAATATTTTATGTTCATATTTATATTAATTTTGGCCAGGCAAATGAGTCGAATGCTTTAAACTACTGCTTATATAATCAATTGAAATGGCAAATAATCACATTTGGCTTAATCCCACCTCCACAATAGAAAACCTTTCGAATACATGGAATTCATAATTTATTATATTGTTATTTTATAACCAAAGTAATGTCTCATTGTATTATTATGTGGTTGTTAATATTAAAGAGAGGTACATGTAAAAGAAATTTATAAAAAACATGATATAAGTTCCTTGATTTAATAGAGTATTAAATCGATTCAAATTAAAAAAAATATAAGAAAAAAATGTTAATAATATCAAATTTAGATAATGATATTTATATACTAATAAGACTTGTTTATAAGTTAAAGCCATGTATGCATTCTGAACAGGCTCTAATTTTACTGTTTGCCTGAGCAACAGCAAAAATTTTATTCTGTTATCCCTTAAATTGAAAACTGACAGTTCGAACAAACTGGTCAAAAAGTAAACTGGTAGGATAAAATACCCCGTAGGACTTGTTCGATAATACTGAAAAATGTATTATATGGCGATTGATTTGAACCATGTTGTATTTTTCGATCCGCGGGGAGCCGGGCGAAAAACACAAAGACACGAAAAAAATCACCATTATTATCGTCTTTTCGCCTTGATCTTTGCGGAGCGAAAAAAAACGACAAAGTCGTCACATTTGCCGTATTTTTGTTTTTTTCGCCTGTGCGTTCAAACGGAGCGAGAATACGACATGGCACAAACAGTCACCACTATATTATGTTATAAAAAATAACGCCCGCAATATTGGCGAGATGCTAAAATATTTTCTAGGACTGGAAAAAAAACGCCGGCATTGGTGACTCGACGTGTAAAAGGGGTGTCACAAAAGGGTTTCCGAAAACAAATAATTCTTTTTTTAAGTATTATTTCCCCCGCTTTTTAAATTTTCAATTTGGCGCCTCTAAAAAAAACTTATTTAGTCATCCCTTGTTAAAATCAAAAGTCCCTTTTTAGATCTATTAAAAGCCAAGCCCCCCAAAAAACCCATTTTGCTGGCTGATCAAACCCATACAGCTACTGATGGTATATATATTTGTCATTTTTATTTGATATTCCTAAATTAATAATAGATAGTTCTTAATATGGGAACTTGTGTCAAGTTCATAATAAGAAATTAGTTAGGTTCACACGTTTTCATGTTTTGTGGCTATATTATAAAGGAAGAGACCCCCCCCCCCCCCTTGTGTGTTTGTGGGGGGGGGACTGTTAACGTCTGCTTTGAACAATATATTCCCGTGATACTAGTAAAGATAAAATTTTAAGTCAAAACCGCCATTGCCACGTAGGATCCCTTTGTATCAATTATTTACATCCAAAAACTATATATATATGCATAATTAAAAAATGATTTTGTACCAATTTAGAATAGATTCGTATACCATTTAGAACAAAGTTGAACCATATTTAATCTCATATTTATTATCCTATTTAAAGAATGTTGAAAATGAAAAGAATTTATATCCAAAGTCTTTCTTCTGGCCAGAATGCTCGGCTGATGCTGGTATCTGAAATAGAAATAGATATAAATAAATAAATAAATAAATAAATAAATAAATAAATAAATAAATAAATAAATAAATAAATAAATAAATAAAACGAATGAATAAAATGAAATGAAATGAAATGAAGTGAATGAATGAATGAATGGATGAATGAATGAATGAATGAATGAATGAATGAATGAATGAATGAATGAATGAATGAATGAATGAATGAATGAATGAACCTAGCTCTTGATAACAATAAAACTAGTATTCATGACACTTTGTGCTCGTGTATCAAATCGGTTGCTGGAAAATCGGTCAAATGCATTTTAAGTTATACTTATATTAGTGCGCAAATTACTTACGTTTTGTAAGTCAAAGTGTAGATCACTCTTTATGTAGAGGCTCATGATACCAAACAGGTTATCATCATTATCAACAATATCGTTGTATGTATCATCAATGTCATTCCTGGCTGTTGTTATGTCCACTTCATCTTGATCATTTTGGAGAGCTATTGCCTCGATGTTTACACTATCGTCATCTGATTCTGTTATGTCAACGGTTTCATCATTTGTTTCTATAACAAAAACATCATCTAGTGTGTGACTGTCTGCTATTTCATCAACTGCATCTATATCTACACTCATTGAATCACCTGACTCTATATCTAGAAAGTCACCAAGCGTATCCGGGTTTCTACATACAATGTATTCACTGTCGTTTTCGGCTGCTCTATCTACAATTGTATCAGTTAAAATTGGATCACTTTGGTCTTTTAAGTAGAACGTCTTCAAACACATTGCTATCTGCAACTGTGAAATCTTTTCGCCTATATTTACGCAGCACTCGTCGGACCGCTTTCGGGTACATCTTCCTGTTTCGCCTTTTTTCTTCTCTTTCTCTGCAGTTACTTGGATACATATTCATCAAACATTTGAGAGCCTCGTTTTGATATTACAAAAAGTTCATCCAGATATACATGCATATCTTCTTCAATTGGAAAACCTGATCCTTTTTCAGTCGATGGCCAAATGTTAGTTGGTTTATAGATATCTGCCTCTTTATCAATTGCAATCTGTAACAATTCCTCTTGATAAGCTTTTTCAATGGTTTCAAATGAAGTTGTCTTCTCTGCTTTTAAACGTGTTTCATTAAGCTTATACAAATGAATGTTCATATGGTCAATGGTTTGATCATCGAAACCTGGTTTAGCAATTTCAGCACGTTTTCGACGTTCGTCGCTTCTGATGTCAGATGTGAAAAATGTTCCTATCGTAGATTGAATACTTTTATCAGTGGTACCAATGTCACTTTCGATATTTAAAGATTTGTTTTCTTTCAGAGGTTTTGTTGTCTTTGATATTGTATCTGTAGCATTTTTTTATTTCGGTTTTGACTTTTAAACCGGTCCTCCCCCTT